AATTAAGAGGAATGATTTTTATGTCTTGTAGAGCTATAGAGAAGTTTACTGCAAACAAAATACGGATGTAAAAGGCATCTTTAGATTAAAAAACAACTGTTGCTATGTTTAGGTGCATCTTAATCCACATCTCTTAATCCACATCTGTTTTTGTTAATATTACATCTCATACCAACTAGCTATAAATAACATCTTACACTAAACAAATTAAAAGAAAAAGCCATTCAAAACAGATTTCCAAACTTAGTCTTTTAGAGGTAAAATTTGTACATGATGAAGTCACTTCAATAGTCTGTTCTGCACATAACAATTTAATCCTGTTGCGTTTAAAAAAAAAATTGAGAGCACTTCATCTTCTTGTACAAAGACAAATTGTTACCAAACAACTTTGTTTAATTTTTTAGACTTTCTCATATCTTGAATAAATTAATAACATCCTTATTTCAAACACAGCAACACTAAACATTAACTGCTAAATACAATGTATGTGTAATTTAAAATTTTGGGTTCAATGTAAAGAACATTTATATTGAACGCAATATATAATAATTTTGCAAGTCAAACAAGTTTGAAGAACAGCCAAAATAAAGCAAAATGTGTACTTCATTTTGAATGCAAAGTTTAGATTTAAAGTAACAGTTCAAGGTCAATAAATAATCATTTTTCACCCTTGCATTTTTAAGGATGGCTATTTATTCCCAAAAAGAGCAAAGAATCAAAATTTTTTTCCCCTAAAAAAACAGCCACTTTTAAAACTGTAACTAGAGATAAGAGCAGAGTTTTCATTTAGTTTACAATAAAGATAAATACAGTTCAAGAATAATGGTATTCATGTCCAATCTGCACATTAATCTCTTTGTATTGTGGGACAAACTTGAAACAAAAAGAGTCAGGAAAACTCCTTAAGGAAACTAAGTAGAGCTGAAGTCAGACCTAACGACATCTCAGGTGAAACAAATCAGATTAATTTACCTACAATTCTGCATCAGAAATTCCAAATATCTTTAAAAGTCACCCCATGTAAAGATAAATATTACTTTTAAACTAATGTGCTCTTTCTAACCCTTGAATTTAACACTTTTTTTTTTTTTTTTTTAAAGAATCTTAAAATGAGAGCGCTCTCACCAGCTCCACGGTGACCGCGCTCCGAACGCCCCCGGCTCTAGCGAACGCCCAGGGGAAGTTCAGCAGCCCGGCGCCCAAAGCGGACTTCAGCATGATGAAGACGGCTCCCATGGAGCCCAGCCGGGGCCCCACGTCCAGCGGTGGCTTGGCAGAGGTTGAGGCCAGCAGGCTGATGCTCTCCCTAGCTAACTCTTCCATGCTCGGGTCGGCAGAAGAATCACAGCGAGATTTGGCGTCCGCCAGAGCGGCACTCTGAGCACCGACGGCCACCCACTGAAAACAGGTGAGCCCCGGGTAGAGGGGAGGGTCGGTCTGTAGCCCAGCTGCTGCCTTCAGGGACCGCTCGGAAGCTTAACATTTATTGTACACCTGTGTATAAAACTGAGATGGATTGATTTTTAATTGATGACTTTTTTTTTTTTTTTGATAAACAACATCTTATGTCTATGATTTTAAGATACTACAACTCCTGATTTTTTTTCAATAAGTGAGAAATTACGAACTACTAGACATTCTAAAAGAGTTACTATCAAGGGCAACAAAGTAAGCTTAATGCACACAAAGTAATATAATTAGTTCATTATATTACTAATTAATGTTAGTAAATAAACAAAAAACTAATCAAAGCTAGTCCTTTCTGACTTTGATCGAGATGATCATTATAAAGATGACCATTACACTTATTTTTGTCTTCTACACAGTTATATTCTTTATTTCAATACTCTAATGGAGAACATCTGCTACAGGAGGGTATAAGTATTCAAAGATGTTAGATTTTTACTTTTGTAATTTTGATGTATAGTGAGATTCAATAACAGTTTTCAAATAATATCCCGTTTCTAATTCTAGCTGAAGAAAAGTTACCCTCTTTTTGCCCCAACATGGATTATGTTTCATCCGAACATAATCCAAGCCGTCTCAAAGTTTTGAGAGATTGTCCTTTTGGGTCAAATCAGATTTTTAAGACATGATTTTTGGGGTACTTTTTTCCTGACTGATATTCGTGCACTTAAATGATTTTGGCTCTTTTTAATCTCTCTGCAAGGCATAGTTTTATATAAGGACGATAAAGAGCAAATGCTAATAAGATCCTGCAAGGTGAGCTGAACTTTTACAGTTCAATCAGGTTCTTTAAAAGCAGTGACAGACACATACCAAAGACAGATGCTGAAATAGAAGCAAAAGGTGCTTTAACAAGGTATTAGTTTAAGGGCCTGCAAACGCTCAAGGAAACACGGAGGTGAGCTAATCCAAAGACATGTGAGGAGACGGGACGGGAGGGGAAGCAGGCGTGTAAGATGCAGAGTGGTACCACAGAACTTAAAATATTTCACCAAGATTCTTCCAGGTGACCTGACTGGCCAAACAGGAAGTCCCCTAAATCTGGGAACGTTGCAGGGAAAGAGTGCATGTGACCTCCTCTCACCACCAGCTTTCCCAAATCTCGTTAGCGCATCTAGCCGTCTCCGAGGTCATTTACCAGTTTCCCAAGGTTCCAAGAGAGATTAGCTTCAGAGCGGGGCCGTCATCAAAGAGGACAGGTGACAGATTCACAGGCTGATCTCACCGATTAGTCTCAGATAAAGAGCCAAAGCCGAGAGCCTGGAGCACCTCTGATGAAATCAGCCTGCATCACTGATTCCGGCCCATAATCAATCCCAACTCCAAGACTGGGATGGATTTGTCTGTTCAATCTGAAATTACTCCTCAGAAGGGAATGCAGTTATTTCTTCTCAGTAGAGACCAGGAAATGTGTGCCATTAAGCAGCAAGGTGAAAAGGAATTTCACATGGTAAACCTCATCTTTTTTTAATCAGTTTTTCACTCTGAAGAGCTGCTAAAATAGTTTTTCCATCACTCCCTCGTGACACCAACAGTGAAGAAATGTCTAAATGTTCAGGAAATATTAATTATGACAGCAGCTCCTCAGCAAATCACTGTAATTTCTCAATCCAGCTGGGACTTGATTGGAGTTATACATGTTATCATCGGTGCTCAGATATTAGTTGAAGCTAAATGTCACCCTGTTTTTTTCCCCTCCTTTTGCTCATCGCCAGTGATTAATAAATCCTTTTGTTCTTCGAGGTTTAGACACACACTAAAACAACATAAGTTAATAATCACAAACATATGGGCTCTAAACTATTTATAGTAAACTGTCATCGTAAAAAATACATCACAGCCTCCGTAAGGGTTCTCCGTGTCAGGACATTATTAAAAATACATCTAGTCTTCAACAAAAATGAAATGATTAAAAATATTGGATCTCAAGTGTACAACATATTCCATGCCATCATTTATTAGGCATAAAAAGGCTAACATGGAAAGGCGGTGTGTGAAAAGTTTAACTGCACCCTTTTACCATGGGATTTAAGTTAGATTAACAGCAACATGCTGATAATCAAATACACTTGATTAGATGATCATCAGTGTGAGCACTTCTATAAAACACAGTTTTTGTTCAGTTTGCAGTTTCTGAGCCTGTAAGTGGATTAACACAATCCCAAAACAGAGACACAGCCGCACATAATCTTAAGAGAAGCAATTACTGTCGTCCATCGACCAGGGAAGATTTTATGACAGTAGCATCCAAAGTCAGACCTCAAGGATGACATCCTGCATGCTTTAGTTCTCTGTGTGGTTCAACACACCTGAATAAAGCAATGGCTCACTATAAGCCTCTGGAGAACATTGACATGCTGAAGTTTGACCTGCCAGAGTGTTGAACCAGGTAGTGAACAAAGACATGCCTCATGGGCATACCAGACCTCTAGGACTTAAACACCACTTGATTTGTGACTTTTCCAAACCAGCCCACTTTGACCAATATTGCTTCAGTTTATTTAAATTTGCAGTCATTTTTTTTTTCTGCAAAATGTCTGAACTTTCACTGGACCACACCGACTGTTTTTAGCCGTCCTGCTGCAGCTTTGCTGCCATTTGCGCTGTTCATGACCCAGTTTGAGTCAGACTTCTGACTTGTTAAAGACGGTCTCACAGTTGACTTTGGGATATTTTGAGAAAAATCATTCTTTCACCACCATGTTGTTGGCAGATGAAACAAGGTGCCTGTACTTCATAAACTTCAACATGCTAACTGGCAAGTCTAAGGCTTTTGGCTATATGATGATTGGGACAGCTTAAAGAGACAATATTATGTATTTTCCAGGCACATATTGTCGTATTATAGCACAATCAAGTAACTATGTCACCTTTGGTTGTTATAAGAAAGCTGCATATGTTAATCATAGCTGAAAAGAAATTTAACTTCATAATTAAACACCATTCAATTGGGCCTTTCTCTTTAAGAAGCTTCCTGCTGTATCACTATACATAACATGCATTCCCTTGTGATTAAGTCTGACAGTGAAACAAAAACACAATGCTTTTGATGATGCTTTTTTTATTGATGCGATATCTGACCAAGTCTGTTGAAGAAACTGGAGTCCCAAAGGGAGGATTTCAACAGAAAGCCTGACCAGATGTATTGACTGTATAAAATATAAAAACAACAGTGATGTTCAACAGATCGGGGCAGGACATAGAAAACCAGGGTCAGGTACTTTTATCCTGTTTGTGTGCCAACTATTTAAAGAGTTACAAGTGTAACACATATGTTTTCGGGTAAGAACAAATTCAATAAATATAAAAGTAAGATATTTTACTTATAAAGAACCCATTTGGTCAAAGAAGAGGAAAGGAAATGTTGACACAATGTGTACTTGGACTGTAGCTGGACTTTTGGGGCCCAGACTTGGGTTTTGTCTAACACTGTTCATTGGTCCACAAATACACAAAACACCAACGACAGATTTAAACGGGCAAGAGGCAAAAAAAAAAAAAAAAAAAATGTTTCCAGGAGATGTCGGACGTCAATTAATGTCCGGCAAGCTTTAAAAAGCAGTCCAGGACTCTGCCCAAGCAGTTCCACTGACTTATCTCTTCAACGTCTCGGTTCTGGAGTTGGGCCCAGCTGTTCGGCAGCAGTACAAATATGCAGTCACACAGTGGGGGTTTTCCCAGCTGTCGCTGTCTGCTGCTGGAGGTATGTGGGCCGTTTGATCCGGGGTTTCCTGCGCTTCGGTTTGCTCTTGGCTTTAGTGAGCTGAACCACGAAAAATGACAGAACGACCATTGCTCCCAGGAAGGCGAACACGGGGATGGTCTGACCAACTTCTTGGTTGTAGCGACCTGGCATTATCCCTAAAAGGAAAGAGAGTAAATGCCATGAACAGCTTTGTCCATCACAGGCGCGTCTCCAACGAGGAAATCGAATGCATTTCTGTAAATCAATTGAAAAAGTGAAACATAGATTCTTTANAAAAATTTTAATGATTTTTGGGCCAATTTTTCATTTTTTTGTCCCAAAAATTTAATACAAAAAAAAAAAAAAAAAAAAAAAAAACCTCACCTGGCTCAAAATCCACATTGACGCAGTGGGAGGTGCCTATATGCCAGACGGCCAGTCGGCTGTCTACGAGCTCCAAGTCTGAGCTACTTCCACAGACAAATTAGCTTGACTTGAACAAGTAGAATCCATACTATACTGGTAAAACAATTTGGGAAAACAACCTCTGTCTCCCATCCCTCACTTCCAGCATCCATGGCACCTCACCGTGAATATTGCAAAGGGTCAATAGTAAACTTGGGGAAAAGTGGACTGTGAAACATGACTCATTAAGCAATCTTAAGACAACATATATTGGCAAATATTTATTAAACATGTCATCTGAATGTTTATTTATTTTTCATTGCAGTTATATGCTTGATTAATTACTTTTCAGATAGTTTCTCCTGTTTCCATGGAGCCCAAATGACTGATATTGCTTGATGTAGATTTCATCTATTCATTATTTAAGAAAGTATCATAAACCATGTTCTCATTACTATTAACTAGGCAAACTGTTAAAGAGAAACCCAAACAGTAATGTAAGAATGCATTGCTGACCTTCAGCAGCTCCTCCTCCACCGTGTCTCTGACCAGCTCTGCTCCCAGTCTTCTTGCTCTGCAGGTCAAATTATCGGTGGCGATGGCAAACGGAGTCTCAGTGGCATCCAGCGCCCTCTCCAGCCGCTTCTTCACCATCAGCAGCGACTCCGTGTCGGCCTGCAGCAGCTCGATGTGCCACTGCAGCTCAGACTTCCAGGAGTGGATCTCTTGGAGTCTCTCTCCAAGAAGACGCGTTCCTGTGGCCTGGGTTTTCAGAGCTGCAGCCTCCGTGTCCTGGCTCAAGGTTCTGGACTCCAGCTGGATGTTCTGGGCGTCTCTGTGGTTGGTACCGGCCTGTGCAAGGATGGCTTGGTAATTGGAGAACCATTCAGCAGGGGTGTATTTAGCAGAGCGATATCCAGCAGTGGCTGAGCCCGAGGACGGCTGCGGCACTTCCTGCTCCAAAGGCGGACTTTTCTGGTGGACCCTGCTGTCATAATGCGGCCGAGACACAATGATTTCTGAACTCATTTTCTAACAGTACAGTTAAAAGAAAAATGAACCAACAGGACAATCGGTGCAGGAGTGGGAGCAGCCCTTGAGAAACCAGAGAGTTTGTTTGCTGTTGCTTAGTTACACGTTTGCAGGAGGAGATCGAGTGACAGATAAGAAGAGAAGAGCGGATGGCAACTTCCAGAGGCATTACAACAAAAGGATGAAACAATTTGAATTTACACCTTTGGAAAAATCCACAATTTCACACAGTTTTTATTTAAAATGACGTCTTATTAATGTTCCTGTTATCTTTTGTTATCAAAACTTATACACAGTAAATACTGACCTCTGTATTTTTCCGCGACGTTATTAGTAAGTGACAGACTTGGATAATTGGTGCCAATAAGATAAGTGAGATAGCCAATAACTCTTGGGAAAGCTAAAAGTTACATCCCATTCAAACCATGACGTCTCATTTCTTCCAGTAGGGGGCGCTGCCGTTTAAACAGGGTCGCTGTGACCCACGAGTTAAGTTTAAAGCGAGAAGCGCGGTGTCTCTTATCAGACTTCTCTGCTTTTGTTTAGCTGTTCATAGGAAAACCCCAGTAATTGAGCGCTACAGCGAGTCAGTTTTTAGACCAAAGCTTAGCTCTAACAGTTTAGGGAAGTTTTAAAGAAACACTTTAAACAACAGATATGTGGAGACAGCAGGACTAAGCGAAGCAGCAGCAGGTGGCGACGGCTGTGGGACAGATTCCTGGAGCAGATAACAAAGACCACTGGCCTTTACATTACATGACGATTTTGGACGACCCAAAACACGGGAGGCTGTTTTCAACTCTAAAGTTGTGTTGCACCGATTAGGTTTGTATTCTTTCATGTCGACTTGACTTAGAAGAAGTTGTGAAAAACAGTCTATTGTACATAGCAGGAGTCCTCAGACCAGGGCTCTTGCTGTTTAAAAATATTAGCATAATATGAAAGACAGATGTACGGGAGCCCCTGCAGGTCAAAACAGAGGTACGATGAGATAAAAGGCATAATTATCAAAACAATAATTGTGTTTCTGTGAAGGAAGTTGATTTCTGTGACTATATTGATGGTTTTAAAATGAGATTCTATATGTGTCCTTCTGCTACAAAGTGTTGGAAAGTCAGTGTGATATTTGTATTCTCAGCCCCTGTGAAATTCTTTAAAACTTTTGCAGGGTGTTGCATGAAAGTTTGGTTTATGTTCACCAAGTTTTGAAATTGCTTCTCATCCTATGTTTTTACATAACTCCCCCTTTTAGAACAAACAGACTTCTTTTGGTGTTGCACCAGCAGTCAGTATTTAGACTGCAAATAAATAAATATGTTGTGATATCAGATAATTATTACTAACCTGGTTATATGTTGATTCCATCATTTTGATCTAAAGTCAGCTTTTAAAGGCAGTAATGTTATCTGGGACTAGGATGTACTGGGTTCAGGAAGGATGCAGGGGGTCATTATACTTTTGATTGAGATATGTCAGGACCTTAATTTTGATTGACTTAGTAAGGTCAGTTGGGCTTTTGTTGAAAAAACCCACACCCAAATGTGAACGGCAGAAAATGAGAGCTGACAAGGAGTCCTATCAGAAACCTCTAGTTCAGTTCCCCCTTACTAGAATTAAACTCATAGTTACAAGTACTCTTACACTTACATAGTGACAAAGCAGAAGCTTATTGGTCCCCAGAAAAATGACAAAAACTCGGACATTGTCATCGATCAATAAAATCCTCCCAGGCCAAACTTAAAAATTGGACGTGATGCTGGCAATACTCAACTTTTGTCAACAACTCAGGCAGAAACGAGAGCGCTGCGCAACGCAAGTAACGACCCGGCCGGAACACGGTGCATTAAATAAAACATAATTTAACAAAGCTTTGAGGCAGATAAATTTTCCTCGAGGAATTTTAATAATCGAGATACTTGAATCATATGATTAATTGTTTCAGAGTAACAGTTGTTTATCTGCATAATCTCTCCATGGTTGTTACAGATGTTCGTCAGATAATGCGGGTCAAAAAAGGCGCTGCTGAAAACAACAGTTTCAGCATTAACTTGAAGGACCCGAAGCCCAACCATGTCATGAAGGTACTGGAGTAAGGCTGTATCAGTATAGGGACAGAGCATCTCGGTGGGAAGGTGTACCTTGCCATGTTTGCAGTCATGGAAATGCTCATGAGCTGCAATGATAATAAAGATTTTCCTTTTTATTTTCACAGATACATCAACACCAAAAAGAAAGGAACAAATTTGGAGAGGAAGACTGTAGGGAAGAAGAATCTATCAGGAATCAAAGTCATGGAGATGATTCCAACATGGGGACTGAATTCACTGATGATGATGTAAAGCATCCTGACTCCAAAAACACACACAAGACAATCCACAGAGGCCAGAATTTTTTTTTTTTTGTGAGCATTGTGGGAAAAGATTTCGCCAAAAAGTAGGTTTGAACCAACACTTGAGAATCGACACAGGACAGAAGCCTTTTTGTTGTGATGTTTGTGATCAAATATTTAGTGGGAAGGCAGCTTTACAAGTTCACTTGAGAACCCATACAGGTGAGAAACCCTTTAGCTGTGAGCTATGTGAAAAATCATTTAGCCAGAAATCAAATTTAATAAAACACACGAGAATCCACACAGGACAGAAACCATACTTTTGTGATGATTGTGGGAAAAGCTTCAGGGTTAAGACATCTTTAGACCATCATAAGAGAGTCCACTCAGAACAAGAACCTCTCTGTTGTGATGTTTGTGGACATAGATGGAGTTATAAATCTGATCTAGACCAACACAGGAGAGTCCACACAGGTGAAAAACCTTTCTCGTGTGAAATTTGTGGGAAAAGTTTTAACCAAAGGACAACTTTAAAAACTCACCTCACAATCCATACTGGAGAGAGACCTTTCTCATATGATCTTTGTGCACAAAGTTTTCATCAAAAAGGTGCTTTAAAAGCTCACAGAAGAACCCACACTGGAGAAAAACCTTTCGTTTGTGATCTTTGTGGACAAAGCTTTTGCCAAAAAGGAGGCTTAAATGTCACACAAGAGAGCCCACACAGGTGAAAAATTTTTTTCTTGTGACATTTGTGGACAAAGATTTACTCGGAGCGAAAATTTAAACTCGCACATTAGAGCCCATAAGGGACAGAAACCCTTCAGTTGTGATGTATGTGGACAAAGGTTTCGTCACAATTCTGTTTTATATCAACATAAGATGGGCCACACCGGGGAGAAACGTCACTCTTGTGGAATGTGTGGGAAACAATTTACACAGAGTGGATCTCTAAGCAAACACATTTTGATACACACAGGACATAAGATTTTTAGATAATCTTTGTGGACAAAGCTTTAGAGAAAAAGTTCATTCAAACAACCTCATAAGAATCCACACTGTTGACAAACCATTCTGTTGTAATCTTTGTGGACAAACATTTCATAAGAAATCTGTTCTTAAAATGCAAGAGTGTTCACACAGAAGAGAAACCTTTCTGCTGCAATGTCTGGGAAACAATTTAGTCAAGATGTAAACTTTAAAAACACACATGAGAGTTTATACAAGAGAGAAACCTTCCTGTGTTCTCTTTGACAACACCTTACTCCAAAGGCAAAGTTGAAGAGTCGCATGAGAATTCACCAGGTTGGAAACCCTTTTGTTGTGATCTTTGGAATAAACAATTTACTTCTAAAGTATCCTTGAACAAGCATGTCAGATCGCACATCAGTTAACCATATTGTCGTGATGTTTGTGGACAAATATTTAATGAGAAGACTGTGTCATACCACATTTGAGCAAAAAAAAAAAAAAAAAAATTTTTCCCCAAAAACCTAAAAAACTTGATTAAAAAAAAACCAGGTTATAGTTTAATACTCTTTTTTTTAAATGTATTTTTAAAAATTCATCTAATACTCGGTAATTTTAAACAATTTCTTTAACTACTTTTAAAAATGAATTTACATTCTTCAGTTGTACAGTCCCATTTTTTTTTCTTAGAATCAATGTTTAGTACTTATTTTTACATTAGAGTTTCAGTTCAGATTATGTTTGTATGTTAGAATTAGTGCACACTGTTGGCGTTTAAATTGTAACAACTATTTGCTTACATATGCCAAGTGTTGTCCGTTTAGACTTTGCATGCCAATAAGATATTTTCTTGATGCACTTGTAAGTGAATGTACACCTATAGTGGCTTACGTTGGCTGTGAATGTTTTTTGTTGAAATAAAGTTAGTGGATCTAAGTTTTGAGTTTTGGTGTTAGAAATGACTTTCTCATACTAATAAATAAAACTGCAAGTTGACTCATGAAAGCTAATATTTTAAGGGAATTAAAGATTGACAGCAAACTGGCAAATCAAGACAAAGAAAAAACACAAGAAGGCAGCGAGTGACAAATAAAATAATTCTAACTGAAAACTGCTGAGACTCAGATCTTGAGAAGTTGTCAATTTGATTTATTTACATGTGTACATCTTTTACTGAATGAGCCTATTCTAATACCTTTAAAACACTGAGCTTCCTCACTTAAGTAAAGTTAGGGGGAAAAAAAATCCAACAAGGAGTTTAATATTCTTCATTTTAAGCACTTACTAAAATTTAGTAGGAAAGGGAAGAATCAGTTTGGAAAAATCTGGCTGATCAGTTTTTATTTACATTTACAAACTGCATCCTGAAAATAATTTATACCCTTAACAATCAAGGGGAAAAAAAAATCTTTATTTGTATTGCAACAAACACATAATTGCTGATGAACTTTTTGCATGTCTGCTCTGATATTAAGATGCTTCGTCTTCTGCACTGAACTCCAAGTGTTTCATGTTTGAAGGCCACCCTAACATGAGACTAATCTTTAGCTCCCTCTACTGGTCCAAGCTGAGACTCGTAGGGAAACTCAAAAAGTTAACATTACTTTCATTCAGAAGTTAAGATCATTTCAAATTTAAATCTGCTAAAGGTATGAATAAGTTTTGTCTATGTGTAGATTATTTGAAACTTCTTTTGAAATTCCTTCTTGGTTTCAGAAACAGAACAAGACAAAAACATGCATATTGTGACAGTGAACAAATCACCTGACCTTCACACAGGCTGACATCAAAATGCAAATCAGTTTGACTTGTTCTGTCTGTGTGTCTTCACTTAGTCACATTTAACATAAAACTAATACGTACATATTAAAAACATATCTAAATATAAACACACCAGCATTTGGTTCCTTTAGTGCAGTGTTTCCCAACCCTGGTCCTCAAGGCACACTGACCTGCATGTTTTAGATGTTGCCCTGCTTCAGCACACATGATTTCAATTGTTGGCTGATTAACAGGGTTTTGCTGAATTGCAATCATCTGAATGGGGTGTGTTGAAGCAGGGGAACATCTAAAACATGCAGGTCAGTGTGCCTTGAGGACCAGGGTTGGGAAACACTGCTTTAGTGAGCTGTTACTGTCACTAACACTGGTCACGTGTTTCCTAACTTCTGTAGGTCTCTTTTAAAAGATGTTGTTGTAGACATCATTGTCATCATGGCTCAACGTGTTTGGAGTGGTAGAGTTCATGTAAACAACATCCTCATGTAACTCATAGATCTAAAGAAATAAAAGAAATAAGATTTTATTTTCAGGCAGAAAAAAATATTTTAGAGTTGAAGTTTTGTTTACTCACATCATTGATTCTCATCTCCACATTATTACTGTTAGCAGAGTACAACACATTCACATTGACTCCATCCACTCAAAACACAAAGTAAACATGATGTGATTCTGTGAGGGATTTCTGTGTGAGTGTATAATCTGTATACATGTACCTTGCTTGATCCTTGATTTGTACTTTAAAACCAGCAAAAGGACAAATGTCAGGATCAGAAGCAGAACGAAGACAGCAGGCAGAATGTAGAATAAAGAAACATCTGAAAACAAGAAAATGGAGAAGTTAGCTGGTTCACAGAACCCTCCCTAAAAACACCACAGAATGACAACATGAGTTTCTTATTTTAAATGTGGTGAAAAAACTGTGATCAATAAAAATTCAACTTGATGCTCATGTTCCTGTTTTCTCTTTCTATCTCCACCACATTTAAATTGTTTTCTCAACTCTTATTAATAATAAACTTATTTGAGTTCAACCCACTAATTCTCAGTGTCATTCACACAACGAGCAAATGCATCCCGAAGCCTCACTTATTGCCCACATGTGACTTATTTCTGACTTTTTCATGGCAGTCTGAATGGCCCTATTTCGATCGTTTTCATCTTCCAAAAACATCCAGTCTGTGCCAATCCCATACGTGGAACTAAATCAAATATGTATCTGATAGTCTTTGAAGGTTTGCAGTCTGAACCGTCATGTGGCTTTTTACCCAACTTTTATACCACTGATGTGAGATATGCACCAGAAGAAGGTAAATCTGGACTTGAACAATGATTGAACATTATAATTATGACAATATGAATGAAGTCTGTGTCACTGAGGCACATCACATCACAGTCCCAGCACTCCTGGTTCTGAGAACAAGGCAAACTGACTTCTCTGCAGAAGCTGCAGTCAAGATGCCGCAAAAGGCCTTTGCTGTTAGTTGTGCTTTCTTTTTATTAGCTTCTCTTGTGTTGTGACGATAGATACTGTAACAAGATTCTTTTAAATCAATATGTAAACGGCCCCATCTACTCTTACTACCACAAACGGTGAACTGCTGAATGATGTCACCGTTCTTCTGTGATTGTGGGTTGCTTTTGGGTCGTAAACCGTTCACACAGAAGTCTGATTGTGGTTCGATTTAATTAGCAGCATGAACCACCAGGCAACAAAAACAAATGATCGGACTTCAGCAAAAAAAATTGGAATTAAGCATCAAGACCTGTGATGTGGAGTTATTTTTGTCTCCAACTAAAAACTCAGAAACCTGAAAATGTCCACATCTCAAAAGTCAGTAATATGACTCAATCTAATGAAAGAGGAACTTTATTTTATTTCCCCACTATGAGGTGACCTTGAGCAAGAAACCTAAAGATGGAGGCATAACTTCCCTTAATACTGTACTGTAATTCTGTACTCTGAATGTGTGAAGTGCATGAATGTGTTGATGATTTGTGAGTGTGGATGATTAGGTGAGCATTTAAACAGCTTCATCATTTCAGTCCATTCTCTACTGAAAGAACTAAATCCTCCATGGAGGAGCTGAAATGACCTTTATTTTAATAATACAGGGATCCACTTTGTGTCATAAGAGCAGCTTTGAGCAGTTAGACCAGAACATATGGAGATTTGGAACAACTGGAATGAAAAGAGTGAGAAAAAACACGAGTCATAAATAGGAATAAACAAAGAGTTTACCACGATTATGTGATGGTGGCTGTGATGTAACCTGTTCACCAGTACTGGTCGGAGCCACAGAGCTGGTTTGATGTAGAGAGACTGTCAGAGGAAATATAAAACATAATGTGCTGAAAAAAAAACTATAACATGAGTTTTCTGTTGTTTTTCATGATTTTTTTTTTATCTCTCCCTGTGTTGGTCTCACCGACTGCCAGCTGTATCTTTATGAATCTCAGCTGAGAGTCTGAACCACAGTAGTATGTTCCTGCATCAGCTGCTTCCAGTTCAGTGATGATCACAGAGAAACAGCTGGAGGAGACATTGAGCAGCTTGAACTTTGTTTGGTTCTCCATCATGTCTGTGCAGTTGTTGTGTTGGTCTCCTTTACAGAGGAACTTCCTGTTATCATGTTGTTGTCCTGAATTAGGACACTGCAGAGTTACTGGACGTCCCTCGATGCCACTGATGTTGTACGACTTCAGACAGAACGATTCTGCCAGAGAAGGTAATTTTAATAACTGTTGTATTAATAAACTTAAGATTCAATATTAAATTAGTAAAAAATAAGGGACTTATATTAATCCCTTTTTTTTTCTTAATAAGGAAGAATGACCTCTCACCTTTGACCTCCAGCTGAACAGCAGTGAAAACATCAAATCCTGAGTTTTTCTGGACTCCACAAAGATACGA